TGGTCAAGCCAAAGGGTATGACCTTGAACTCATAATGTCCTAAATGAGTTCTGAATGCAGTTTCAAAAATGTTATTCTCTCTCATTTTGATCTGATGATACCATCTCTCAAGTCAATCTTTGAATAGATGCAAGATCCATTGAGTTCATCCGTTGAGTCATCCACCAATGGTATACGAAATTTGTCTTTAACTATCATCTTATTAAGCTCCCTATAATCAATTCAGAATCTCCAACTTCCATCTTTCTTTTTAACTAAGAGCACTGGTGAGGAGAATGGAGAGTGACTAGGCTGAATAATCCCATTAGTAAACATTTCATTTACTTGTTTCTCTATTTCATATTTTTTAAAATAGCTATACCTGTAGGGTCTGATACTCACTGGTGCTGCATCAGACTTGAGGAGAATGAAGTGGTCGTGGTCCCTCCTTGGTGGTAAGGTCTTGGGCTCTACAAACACCTTGGGAAAGTCCTGGAGTACTGATCTGATCTCTTCAGGTAACTCTGCTGTAACTTCTACTTCTTTAGCTGAGATTGAGAATAAATGTGCCTACATCACTTGCCCTTTCTTCAGCAATTGTTTAACCCCAGAAGCAGACATAGCTTGTAGTTGGCCCTCTTCGGAGAATCCCTTCAGTTCTACCCTCTTACCATTGACACTCACTTGGAGTCTATAGCCAATAAAGTCAAATAAGACTGGGTTGTGTTTCCTCATCCAGTCTACTCCTAACACCATGTCACACTTTCCAACATCCAACAGCCTAAGCTTGTGCTCAAAATCAATTCCATGTATCTTCCATTTGAATGAGGGACAAGAGTGATAACTCATCAAATGGCTACCATTAGTTGTAGTAACCCTCATAGGTGCATATTCCTTAATCACACATCCCAATTGTTTTGCAGAACTTCTGGCCACAAAACTATGGGTGCTCCACTATCAGCTAGAATTATCAGTTTCTGCTTTCCATACTGTCACGCCCCAAACCTGGGGACGCGTGGCTGGCACCCGGTGCCGTACTGGCCCAAGCGAACCACTCTTTAACTCTTTCTTTTTTCTTAACTATCATGGGTCAACATGGCCTCAACTTGTAATGTACAACTTGTAAGTGGGAAAACACTGTACCACTAAATCATTTTCCTTAAAATACGAATACATATGGGCCGTCAAGACCTCTGACATACTGTACAAAATGAACCTTTGTCTACAAAGTCTCTAAGATTATTTGACATCAAATGGGATAGGGTACCGGCCTACCCGTAAGTCTGTAGCAAAACTCTGACATGATGACTCATAGACTCGGCTGCACTCCGAATGAGGTGGAGTCTTACTGATCCTTCGCTGAATGTCAATCTCATCTACTCTGAGGGATCGTCAAACTGATTATCTATACCTGCAGGCATGAATGCAATGTCCCCAACAAAAGGACGTCAGTAAGAATAATGTACTGAGTATGTAAGGCAGAACTAAAACATAACAGTAAGTCAACATTAATTGAAGACATATAAGAATCAACCTGAATATCTGAAGTGCCACCGTATATGCATACTTAATATACTTACATATAAACAATGCTTCTCTTTGAGACTATTATCCATGTCGTATGATGCATGACTGCCCAATTGATCAGTGGTAACTGCCCAACCGGCCGTCGCATGGTGGTAAATGTATGACTACCCAACCGGTGGTAAATAATGATACATAACTGCCCAACCGGTGGTAACTGCCCGACCGGCCGTAGCCCGGTGATAAATGCATGACTGCCTGACCGACCGTAGCTCAGTGGTAAATGTGTAACTTCCCAACCGGCCATAGTTCGATGGTAAATGCATGACTGCACGACCGACCGTAGCTCGATGGTAAATGAATATGCATGACTACCCAACCGGTGGTAAATAATGATACATAACTGCCCAACCGGTGGTAACTGCCCAACCGGCCGTAGCTCGATGGTAAATGAATATGCATGTATTACTATATTATGAACATTAACATCTTTATCATATACCTCAATAGGGAACTAGATACATACTTAGACATGCTTGAATATCACCTTACGGGAATGAATAACATAGACATCCTTAACTGCTAAGAGTAGAACAATTTATGGAATATCATTACGTTTACGTATCGTTACGTGGATCATGCCAAAAGAAAGAAGGATTAGCCTTAACATACCTGAGCCGATTCTCTTGAGAAAGATTGCACCGTACTCCCTTAGAATCGTAAAATCCCGTTGCTATTATGCTAAGAAGTTTCGTATGAATTTTATTTCAAGAAAAATCAAGTTACTACCATTCCAAATGATTGTAATTCGAACACCATACCCAAACCTCTCCTTCTCCATTTTTTTATTATTGATTTTGGCTCTTCACCTACATCACCGTACTCATTCCTCAAGATACAACCTTTCTAATAATCAATCAAGAGTGTTATATTACAAGCACACTATTGAATCTAGATACCATTTGATAGTTGCAAATCCGGCTGAAATCTTAACAACTTCTTAAACCAAGTAGTAGTAAACATACACTACTAGAAATTCGGCAAAAACCGACCAACTTTGGTAGGTAAAAAAACCGGCCAAAAACGACCAAAGTTGGTCGGTTTTTCAAAATATTTTAATTTTTAATTTTTTTTTACGAAACCGACCAACTTTGGTCGGTTTTCTTTGGCGCAAAAATGCGGAAAACTATTTTTGAGTCCAGCGAAATTTATTTTTCAAGAAACCGACCAACTTTGGTCGGTAAATTCGGCCGGTCATTTTAAAAAACCGACCAACTTTGGTCGGTAATTTTATTTTTTAATAAGACCGACAAACTTTGGTCGGTTATTTTCGTGCGAAAATACAATTAAAGAGTATAAATAAAAAAAAAATAAGACAATCTTAAAACAAAATGCACCAATGGTCTAGTGGTAGAATAGTATCCTGCCACAATACACACCCCGGTTCGATTCCCAGACGGTGAATCTTTTGATTACATAATTAAATTACTAACCAAGTTTGGTTGGATTTTTTTTTTTGCAATATTTTTTTTTTGAATTTAATTTACCAACCAACGTTGGTCGGTAATTTCCGACCAACTTTGGTCGGTATACTAAAGCGACCACCAAAATACCGTCCAAGCGTATTTGGTCGCATTTTAATCGGTAATTGGCCATAACCGACCAAAGTTGATCGGTTTTTTTGATCGCTAATTACCGGATTTCTAGTAGTGATACTTGACTAACAATAATGTAGTCCACTTAAGGAAGCCTTAAGCTAATAAGGCATAACGAAACAGTCAAAATTATCCCTATAAACAACTAAAGCATACTTCACCTGTAATGAAGGCACCATATGTGCTATGACTCATCATGCACATTGGTGCCACCTTGGCCTAGCTTAGTGCCATGTGGCACCTTATAGAAAAAATCTTTATCCACTTAATCCTATTTAATATCATAATTAGTTCTACAATTAATCAATTATTCACATAATTAAAAATTATCTCAAATTATTTAAAATACTACTTACTTTTAACACACTTTATGCATCCTACTATCATGGTCATGTGGTACCATATAAAATTAATACATACACTATCATTTCATTAAAATATCCATGTAAAAATGCATATATTTTCTCAACTTCTAATTTTCCTAATCTCATATAAAGAGTAAAAATTCTCGTACGCTTAATTCTTAAAATGGTAAAAAGATAATCTTCTTTTCTTGTGAGAAAATAATTTTTATCTTTACAATAAAGAAAATCTCATAAACTTTCTTATATTATGTGTGTAATTTAAAACATATTCGAAAGTAGTAATATTAATAACTATATAAAATTATATTTTTCAAACTTTTTTTTTCTACAATAAATGTCTCACTCAAAATAAATACCATATCCAATGTATATAATGGTATCAAGGTTGTTAAACTCACGGGACACATACATCCCTTTCAATTTAATAGTATTAGAGGTTATAGTCCCTGATAATGCATTGAGACTTATGGCCTCATCAATTATCCCTTCTTGACCATTTTCAACTTCTTCTCTTTCTTCCATTCCTTGACTTTCCTCTATTGTATCCTGGTCAGTAGTACCATGCAAGGTATTGAACTGCTTATAGCATTCACTCTTGGCCTTCCTTGATTCAAACAACTTGTTACCAGAGATGGTAGAATTAGAGTAATTCTCTTTTTGTGTATTCCCAGATGCTCTACTCCCTGATAGCCATTGTATGATAGTCATTGTATGAATTGTATTGAGTTGACTGTCTTCCTCCACTCATTTTGTTCTTTCTACTACCTGAATCCAGCAATTCTTTCTTATGTCTAGCCTTTTCTACAGCTTGACTTAAGGAAAAAGTATCAAGCATTTTAACTGTATGCCTGATTTCTTCTTTAATTCCTTCAATGAAAAATCCTAGAAAGAATTCTTCAGGAATGGTTGGGTGTTTGATTAATACCCAAGGCTTTAAATCTTCAAACTTCTCCAAATACTCATTCATAGTTCACCTTTGCTCAATTCTTTTAAACTTCATTAGTAGGTTAGATTACTATTATCAGAATCATTAAACCTTTTACAGATTTCCTCAGCAAAATCAGGCATCTCACCATACCTCTACTCAATTGATATGAGAAATACCAAGACTCAGCCATCACATTCAAGTGAAGTACTGCAGTATCTAACTTTTGTTGTGGTTCAATTATACGATTATAGTGGAAGTACCTTTCACATTTTCGCAGCCAAGATCTGGGATCCCCATCTTCAAAGTAAAGACAATCCACCTTAACAGCAGTACTGTTCGAGTAGAATTTGCCAGCGAAATTCTCCTGTGGTTCCATCATCCTCATTCTGCTACTCGATCCATCCAAATGGTAAACCTCGGCTGGAGCACTACCCAAGATTCCATCCTTGTTCACGAATAATTTTTCCATCATTATATCCAATTTGTGGTTGAGATCGCCCATTTTAGAATAAGTAGATTCCAATTTTTTTATTGGTTTTCGCCATGCAACTATGCAACTGGGTCTCTAATTTTTTGACATTTTCCTCTGTGGCCTTTGCTCGAGTTTCTGGAACTGTCATGGTGCCAGGATTCAGCTCTGATACCATATACTAGAATTTGTAACTGAGATTAAGAAGAAGATAATGAGAAAAGCAGGATTTCTTTATTGATTGTAATAGAATTGGAGTTACAACAGTGTTGCTTCTATAATGAAAGCTACATTACTCCATGAGTAACCTGAAAGAAGAAGAAGAGAAAGAGATTAGAGTGAGAAGAGAAGGGAGAGTTAGGTAGAGAGAGAAATCACTTGAGAAGTTGTAACTGAATTTACCAGAAAATGCCTACCGCTTCACTCTAACTTATGCGTATTAATACTCTTCACTAAGCTGATTGTGGACTGAATTGCTTGTGGACTGAATTGTAGTTGGGCCTAGTCTAATCTACCTCTGCTGGTCCAATAGCTCTAATACTAAGACCCAATTGAACCCAATGAATTAAGCCTGATCCACGTGTATGACATAAGACCCCAATATAGAAATATCTACGCTACTTTCCTAATCATTCACCCTCAGACATTACAAGTTGTCGGCCAGACATTGTATTTGTATGATTTTTGGGCTGTCAATTGAACAAGATATTGAGAAAAACTCAGTATCATTGAAAATAAGTGTGTGTATATGCGGATCTGCATGTATAGTTTTTGTGAAGTGGTACATTTAACTTCTGCGTTCGTGAATTCATCCCTTAAGAAATCTTTAATTTGTTGACAACTAAATTAAAATAGGGGGTTGAATAGTAAGTAATCCTCATTTTAGTAGGTAATTTAATAATTAATTAAAGAAAAAACATTGGAGCATGTGAAGAAAGACTACAAATACTCCCTCTATTTCAATATATGTGGCACATTTTGTATTTCGAAAATTAAATTTCTTAATTTGACCTTAAATTCAAAAATAGAATCTTTAAGTTTTTTCAAACAAAATTTACATATTTGGAACTACGTAAAACATATAATAAATCACAATAATAATCAACTCAATTATTAAAAAGGCATATAAAAAGATGAAGTTGTGAAGGCTGCTCAATAAGCATTAGCCGTGACATTGTATAACATTTATATTGTTCACATGTTGTAGGAGGTATAGCTAGCATAGAACTCTAAATACAATATACAAGTCATAAGTTTGCCTTATCATCCTCCCTCAATCTGAAGGGAAGGGACGAACCTGAAGATTGTATAACATATCTTTGAACCTGGAGCATGACAAAACCTTTGTGAAAAGATCAACAAGTTGTTGGCTAGTATGAACATGAGATACACAGAGATCATTTTCTCTCGAATGAAATGATAGTCAAGTTTGACATGTTTTGACCTCGAGTGGAAGACATGATTGTGAGCCAGGTGTATAGCTCCAATGTTATCATACTTTCGCTAAGAGAGGTCGTGAAAGGAAAACACCAAGGTCGCGAAGAATGAACTGCAACCAGGTTGCCTCAGCTGTGGCAACAGCAAGAGCACGATATTCGGCTTCTGTGCTTGAACGTTATGTCGAAGAAATATACAAAAGCCTAATGTGGATCTACGAGTGACTGTGCAACCCGCCTAATCCGAGTCAGAATAAATGGTAAGTGAGATGAAAGGGCGTTTGTACAACTGTAGACCAAAACTAATATACAAAAGCCTAATGTGGATCTACGAGTGACTGTGCAACCCGCCTAATCCGAGTCAGAATAAATGGTAAGTGAGATGAAAGGGCGTTTGTACAACTGTAGACCAAAATTAGTGGTGCCTTAAGATAGCAAATTATTCTCTTAACTCCTTGAAGATGATGTTGGCAAGGTTGATGGAGGAATTGAGAAGCTAAATTCACCGCAAACTGAAGATCGGGTCTAGTAAAGGATAAATATTGCAAACATCTAACCACTTGACGATAGATCGATGGATGATCTAGCAAGGTAATGTATGATGCATGCTAATCAACCTTGCTGTGTAGAGGGGTAATTACAAGCTTTGAGTTAACCATATCAAAACGCTGAAGTATGTCATTGATATACTTGCTTTGCATTAACAAGATACCATCAGAGTTGGGCACTAACTCCACACCCAAAAAGTATCGAAGATGACCCAGGTCTTTCATGGAAAACTGGGACTTCATGAAAGAAATAAAATGAGAAATCATAGACTTAGAGGAGCTGGCCTATATCATCCACATATACTAAAAGAACCATAATATTGGTTGTTGTCCGGAAGATGAACATGCTATTATCTGAAAGAAGACTGCTTGAATCCAAGGTCCAACAGGAAGGTGGCCAATCTATTATACCACGCCCGAGGAGATTGTTTCAGACTATACTAGGCTCTATGAAGCTTGCAAACATGATTAGGGAAATCAGCATGTACAAAACCTTTTGGTTGCACCACGTAGACATCCTCATGAAGTTCACCATGCAAGAAAGCATTAAAGACGTCCAATTGATGCATAGACCAACGAAATTGCAGTGCAAGAGAAAGAACTAGGCGAACTGTGGTCATTTTGATGATTGGAGCAAATGTGTCGGTATAGTCCACACCTGGTTGCTGAGAAAATCCTTGAGCAACAAGACGAGTTTTGAACCGATCAATCGTTCCATATTACACCTGATATATCCATTTGTTACCCACTATATTAACATTTGCAGGAGGAGGTATGAGGAATCATGTATGGTTGTGAATAAGAGCATTGTATTCATCACTCATAGCACTAATCCATCGTGGGTCTTTAGAAGCTTGACCAAAGCAACATGGTTCAGAAATGGATGATGAGGTGGTAGCCACAAGAGAAGGGGATGACTCTAGGCTTTAGAGATCCTGTCAATGATCTGGTGATCATTGTATGTGGCCGGGAGTTTGATTCAGAGGAGACTAAGGATGAGTTGATGAGTGAGATGAGATAGGAGAGTTGGATGATTGTTGTGGGTGTATGAGTCGATCTAGGAGAAGAGACAGACTGCATGAAATCAGGAAAGGATAAGTTTGCCACTGTATGGGGAATTTGACTAGGTAAAGTAGTGGAGAATTCAATAGGTGCTTGGACAGTTCGAGAATCCTGAGCCAGGTGAGGATGAGATGAATAAGGAGTAGATGTATGAGATATGTGAGTTGGATTTAATTTACTTTCCATAGACGTGGAATTATGTGAAGAGTCTTGTAACTTAGATGAAAAAGAAAGTGGTGAAGTGGCATTAGAATTCCAAGAAAGTGGAGTTTGTTTGGATAAGTATTCCGTAGAGTTGTGTTCATTGAAAATCATATGAAGATGGAGAGTTGGAGTAGAATTGGGAAAGTAGTGAGAATAAGGAGACACAGACTCTCTGAATTTCACATGATGAGAGATAAAAATGCGATTTGAAGAAGGATCCAAGCATTTGAAACCTTTGTGGTTAGGAGAAGAACCAAGAAAAATACAAGGCTTAGATCTTGGTGAAAATTTATTAACATTTGCATTAGCCACAAACGGATAACATAGGCACCCAAAAACTTTAACTAAGGCATAATGATGTTTTATACGTCAATACCACACAAGAGAGGGGTGATTGTGTGATACCCAATTTTCGCTTAACTTGATTATAGAAGGACCTGCTTTTTCTATGTGTTCCAACTACTACTGTCGCAGAATAATAACTACAGAAAATAAAGAACACGGAGATTTTACGTGGAAAACACCTGGCTCAAAAGGTGAAAAAACCACGACCTACATTCCAGTAGGATTTTCCCAAACTCTCAACTAAAATCACTGAGCCAAAAACTGCATTTACAAAAACTTTTTGTAAACCTAGGATTAACTCTAATCCCGTTGTGGCACACAACCTCAACTGTTGCGACAACTTCAAGTTAACTTTAACTTGAAAACTCTAAGTAGCTAATACAATTACTTCTAGATAAGCTTAAAGGTACAATGTAAAATCACCTACTACAATTGAACTAGAATAAAAGATAGACACTTGGAACTGGTTCTTCTATCTGGTTCAAGTAGCTTCAGGTTTGCACGCTTGAATCACACACGAATTGCCTGCAAAATTGTCTTGCTATTTTGCTCTCAATTCACGTTTAACTTCTGCTTGTGTGCGTTACCAGTAAAAGAGAACGACACTGATATTTATGGAGTTAGTAAAAGGAGATTGACTAGAATACAGATGCTACTCTTCCTTGGTGAAAGAGTTCTAGTTGGTCTCATCCTCTAACTCTATCCATTTCTTAAGCCGTGTTTCTCTTTGTGTAAGGAGTCTTTCTCCTTATCCAATATGCAACATTTTCGATCATGATCAGGAGATATCACTTCTGATACGTTAGGTTTATCTCCTTCACGTGCATCTCACATGTTTGAGTTGGTCATAACTGTGCTTCACAAGATGGACCTGGTCCATGTCTGAGTTCCTTTGTCAGTCTTCAAAACCTCACCTCTACTTGGGCCAACAAATTCCCCCTTTTTGATGATGACAAACTCTTTGCTTCTCACTCACTTAGGCCCTGTCAGAACTCAGCTTATTCATCAATACAAAGTTAGAAAAATTTACTTATTATCAAGGACCCGGTTCATTAGGTTATAAACATCACTTATTAAGAATATATAAAGCACAATATCTCTTCCCCCTTTTGGCATCATCGAAAAGTTGCATAAACAAAGTGTGAGTCCCAGAATTTTAACAATTACTTATGGCCAATGGGGCAACTGCTGGTGCAATCATGGATTAATCATCAGTAATCAAGCAAACATTTCAAACTATCAAGGAAATATTAACAATCAACAAGAGCACAAACATTAGATATCATTGATAGAAGATATTTTGCTACCACAATCCACCAAAAGAAAGCAAAAATATTCAAAACATGAGCAAAAGAAAGAGAAATCCCTAATATGGGTCACTGGTGGTACTAGACAGGTTCAGGAGATGAAGGCTAGAAGTCCTAAGGCTTGGGGGAGCTAGAGGGTTGGTTTTGGGCTTGTAGAAGGTTCAGCATATTTTGAAGAATGCCATCAGTCTTCTCCTTTTCCTTGGTGAGCTCAGTTCTGAGAGCATCCCTCTCAAATTCAACCTCTGCTAAGCGAGCCTTCAGCCTAGCTATCTCAGCATCCTTGGCCCTACTTTCCTGAACTAGAGCCCTGACTTTACTATTGACGGGTGTCTTCTTGGATGAACCAGGTTCATTGGGAATGGCAGTGACTAGATAGTCACAAGAAATCAAAGTATTTATGCCAAAATGGTCCTTGCTTGTGGCCATTTCCCACATCTTCAGAGGCACCTTGCACCGATCTAGAACAGTAGTCAGAATAAATCCATAAGGGGTGGCATGGGCCTTGTAGCCATTGATAATCCTTTCCAGTAGCTTGATGATGAATGCAGGCCAGTTGATTTGTCTTCCACTTTCAAGACACTCCATCAGAACTAAGTCCATATAGTTGGAAATGTGCCTTCTTTCCTGCCTGGGCAGTAGGCACTTGTTGACAAATTCAAAGAGGACTTTGTGTTGTGGCTTCATTTCACTCTTGTGCACAAACTTAGCCTCATTCACTTCTTCAACATCACAGAATCTTCTAGTGATTTCAAGGGCAGAAGGAAAGGAATCCAGACTGGGCCATCTTTGCCTAGTGTAGTCATCATATCCCTCAGCAGGGATGTCAAGAATCTCACCCAGCTTCTCTGCATCGAAGGTCACCGGAACTCCTTTTACATGGCTGGTAACTCTGCCATCCTTGACCTCTGCATTGGTCATGAATTCAATGATTTCATTTCTAGCTAGCCTTCCATCCATCTGAAGGACCATGTCCTTCCTGCCTTGATCATCTAGTGCATCAATCAATCGAACCATTCCTGGTTCCACCAAGTCTTTCAGCAATCTACCCTTCAAAATTTTTCTTTTGCCAAACATGGCAAGCTTGTCCTGTTCACCATCAGACTCACTCTCTTCTTTACCACTCCATTCTTCATCCTCAGCAATTTTAACTGGTGTGTTTTTTACTACAGACCTTGTCCTTTTGGCCAATGAAGATTCAGCAGCCTTAGACCCTGATGGAGACTTCTTTGAAGAGGTCTTGGTCTTTTCAAGCTTGGGGGTCTGAACCTCCACAGTTGTAAGTTCCTCCTGATGGACCTATTCCATCTCCTCAATATCAACAGCCTCAGAAGGCTCTGCAACCTTGGCTTTTCCTTTATCTATCCTCTTCTTCTTGCTTTCAGCCAAAGCCTTTTGTAATTCACTCTCACTCTGTTTCACTATACTTCTTGTGGCTCTCCCCTTTGGCAAGGGAATTTCAGCAGTTGTTTGAGAAAAAGCCTTTCTTTTCTTGGAAGGTTTTGCAGTGCTGGGGGTTTTTGGTGTAGGGGTTCTCCTTTTCTTTGGATCATAGCTAGCACCCACTTTCTTCAGAAGGTCTGCTAGGGTCTCCTCAACAGATGAACCAGGTTCATCTACCTGTGAACTAAGATTAACCAACCCTTCAGTAGCCTCCCCTGATCCACTTCCCCCTATTTTCTTGCCACTTTCTCCTACTATTTCATCCTCAGTCCCACAAATTGCTGCTCTAACCATCTCAGAGGTGGGTGACGAATCAACCACTTCTGTCCCTATTCCCCTCACATCACTGCTTGCCCCCTCACTCTCCTTTTCTTTTTCACCTTTATTTTTACCACCTCTCCTTCTTGACACAGGCAATTCCACATTCCTAACAGACCCAACCAGAACAAACCTATTGTCTACATTCTCAACCAAAATAGAACGTACCTCAGAAGGGGAGTTTTGAGCCTTCTCAGAGTCAGAAGACCAGTTCCTTCCCCCTCACTCGCAGATTTGAACAAATCGTCTGAGTTCTCAGAATCTTGTGCTTGGCTTGCCTTTAATTTCTCGTTTAATTTCTTTGAAAGAGCACCAGTTTCCACCGTTTTACGAGCAAGCATTTTTACTCGCCTTCTCCTAGGTTGAGGGGTTGTGCTGGGTGGAGGACGGGTGGATGAGTCAGAGGGGGTAGGTTGTGGAGGAGTGCCTGGGTTATCTTGGGGGTCAGACATTGTGACTGATTTCGTGAGAGAATTTGTGAGTTCGGCTTTTGGAACAGAGAACAATTGAGAGTGAAAGAAATTTTGACGGTTTGGAATAATAAGGGTGGCAGAGGGTGATGATGTATATTTAAAGAGAGAAACTTATTTAATGACTAACGGTAGCTTTTTGCAGTCAATTAGAGGTCTAATCAACCTGAAATTTCAGGTTGAATGAATGGTTAAGCTTCCCTAGATTTTAGGCATTTTATGTGGTGAGAATTCTAGTAGAGACGGACTGGTTCAAAAATAAACGGATAGGATTCTCTGATGTTTTTGAACATAGGTAGGACTCTGCTCATGATTTAAATATTTATATTTCTAATTGTGCAGAGTATAGAAAACAAACCTCGTTATTCAGATGAACCAATACTGATGAACCAGGTTTTTCATTTAGAATCCTCTTGATCATGCCTCAACTTACCAAAATAGAGAAAATTTTGTTAGAGATCAGTGAGTCATATCAACACATGTCACAGGAGTATACTATTTACAGTATGAAACTGAGTAAAAATTAATCTAGATATTTACACAAGTTCCAGATTTCCTAGCCAATTTTTTTTTCATTGTGCATTCTGAGTTCCCATTAGGTCATCTTAATCATCCCTAATTCTAACATGTTCCTTTCAAAGCTTTTTTCTACTCAGTGCTTTAGTAAAGATGTCAGCAATTTGTTTATCAGTAGCATAGAATTCTATAGTAATCAATCCTTTCTCATAGTTGCCCCTTAAGAAGTGATGTCTAACATCTATGTGCTTAGTCCTCTTATGATGAATTGGGTTCTTAGTCATACTAATAGCACTAGTGTTATCACAAAAGATAGGGATGCAACCAATTTCAATGCCAAAATCCATCAGCTGCTGTTTGATCCACAGCAGTTGAGCACAACAAGAGGCAGCAGCAACATACTCAGCCTAGTAGTGGATAAAGCCACTGAATTTTGCTTTTTAGTGGCCCATGATACCAGACATGAACCAAGAAAATGACCCATACCTGAGGTGTTTTTCCTATCCACAAGGAAACCTGCATAGTCAGCATCATCATATCCTACTAGATTAAAGTTACTACCTTTAGGGTACCAAAGGCAAAGGTCAGTAGTGCCTTTCAAATATCTCAATATCCTCTTGACAGCAGTCAAGTGGGATTCCTTAGGATTTTCCTGAAAACGAGCACAAAGCCCTACACTGAAAACAATGTCACGTCTGCTAGCAGTAAGATACAGAAGTGAACCAATCATACCCCTATACAACTTCTGATCAACAGATGAACCAGGTTCATCTATGTCTAATTTAGTAGTTGTTGCAATGGGTGTGTCTATTTCTCTTGATTCATCCATTTTAAACTTCTTGATCAACTCTTTTGCATATTTCTACTGATGGATCATGGTTCCATTTGGATTTTGTTTGATCTGTAAACCTAAGAAGAAGTTAAGTTCACCCATCATACTCATTTCAAACTCACTCCCCATTAATTTAGCAAATACCTTACTCGGTTTTTCAGTGGTTGCCCCAAAAATTATGTCATCGACATATATTTGTACTACTAGTAGATCCTTACCTTTTTCCCTCAAGAATTGAGTGATGTCAATCTTACCTCTTTTGTATGCATGTTCAACAGGAATTTGGATAGGCGTTCATACCATGCTCTAGGAGCCTGCTTCAGTCCATATAGGGCCTTGTCCAGTTTGTATACATGATCTGGACACTCTTACTTTCAAACCCTGGAGGTTGTTTGACAAAGACTTCCTCCTTTAAGTAGCCATTTAGGAAGGCACTCTTCACATCCATTTGGTGAAGAGTAAATTCTATGTGTGCTGCAAAGGCTATGAGGAGTCTTATTGCCTCCAGTCTTGCAACTGGAGCAAAGGTCTCATCATAATCTATGCCTTCCTCTTGGTTATAACCTTGGACCACCAATCTTGCCTTGTTCCTTGCAACCGTTCCATCTTCATCAAGTTTATTTCGGAAAACCCATTTAGTGCCAATGACTGATCTCCTTGGGTCTTGTGACCGGATGCCACACTTGACTTCTTTCAAACTGATTGAGTTCATCTTGCATTGCATTCACCCAGTCTACATAAGCTTCAGCAACATTTTTAGGTTCAATAAGAGATAAGAATGCATCAAAAGCACACAGATTCTTTAGTTGAGATCTGGTTTTAACTCCAGAAGTTGGGTCAGTAAGGATGTTCTCAATGGGATGAGAACTTTGATACTTGTAAGGTTTCACAACCAACTGATTTCTGTTTGGAGTTTCTGCCATGTTCTGTTGCTAAGGAACAGGCTCATGGACAGGTTCCATTTGGAAATTAGATTCACTTCTCTTTGTTCAGTTCCCCCTGTCAAGTTGCCCTAGATGGAAGAACCTGTTCCATTACCTGTTCCTTCTTTTGGTGCAGCTTCAGCTTGAGCTGTGACTTCACTAAATTCTTTTACCAGCCCAATAGCTTCATCTTCATGTTCCTGTTTCTCGGAAAGAATGTTAGTTTCATCAAAAACTACATGTACACTTTCTTCTGCACACAAAGTTCTTTTGTTGTACACTTTATAAGCTTTGCTATGTGAAGAATATCCCAAGAATACTCCCTCATCACTTCTGGGATCAAACTTACCTAGGGAGTCCTTTCCATTATTTTGCACAAAGCACTTGCATCCAAATGCCCTAAGATGGGATATATTTGGTTTTCTCCCTTTAAGTAACTCATAGGGAGTCTTCTCTGGAAGAGGTCTAGTCATGCACCTATTAATGATGTAACATGCAGTATTTACAGCCTCTGCCCAGAAGCTATGGGGAAGTTTACTAGAAAGAAGCATAGTCCTAGCCATATCTTCAAGAATCCTATTCTTTCTTTCAACTACTCCATTTTGTTGAGGAGTCCTAGGGGCGGAGAAATTATGATCTATACCATGCTGATCATAAAATTCAGCAAACTTAGCATTTTCAAATTTAGTTCCATGATCATACCTAATTGATGCAAGTTGATTACCTAGTTGTTTCTGAGTTTTTCTAACAAAGGCAATAAACATGTCAAATCCTTCATCCTTAGATGTTAAAAACAATACCCAAGTAAACCTAGAGTAATCATCAAAAAGTACCATCACATATTTCTTACCACCTCTGCTCAATGTTCTCATTGGACCACAAAGATCCATATGAACCAGTTCCATCGACCTGGTCGTGCTTACCACTTTCTTGCTTTTAAAAGAGGATCTTACCTGCTTCCCCCTTGCACAAGCCTCACAAACTTTGTCTTCCTTGAACTTGATTTCAGGTAACCCTATCACCAGGTCCTTGGAGACTAATTTGTTGAGTTGATTTAGACTGGCATGACCAAGTCTTTTGTGCCATAGGAGGGGATAATTGTCCAACACACTCAAGCAAGTGAGTTCATTTTCTGAAAGAGTGGACAAATATACAATGTAAATATTGTTAACTCTTTTTCCCTGCAAAACAATCTTGTCAGTGGTAAGATTAATCACAAAATATTTGGTAGAGGTGAGTGCTACCAGGTTACCTCTGTCACACAGTTGTGATACACTAATTAGGCTATATTTCAAGCCAACTATCAAGTAGACATTCTCAATGGAATGTGAGTCTGTCTTACCTACCTTTCCAACCCCAATAATCTCACCTTTCTTCCCATTTCTAAAGGAGACTTAGGTCCTCAAGTAAAAGGAACTGGTTCTTACTTCCAGTCATATGCTTTGAGCAGCCACTATCCATGTACCATATTTGGCTACTTCCCTTCACTTGAACCTGCAAAACGAAATCAGGGGTTAGTCTTAGGAACCCAAACTAGTTTGGGTCCCTTTCTATAGGCAAAAGGGTGGATTAAATTCTTTTTAGCCCATCCAGGTAGCCTATTTTTCTCTTGAACAAAGATTTTGTTCTTTTGACTGGCCTTTCTTTTGCATTACATTCACTTTTGTAATGACCAGACTTGCCACAATGTGTGCAGATTTTGTTCTCAGGAAGTGTGATGTACTTGCTTTAGGGATCCCACTTAGGTGCTGGGGTCCCATAGCCAAGTCCTCTCTTATTGCTACTGTGGTGCTCTTGTAACCAGGATAGTGCATCAGAGGACTTATCCATTTGCAAGTTCTGTCTAGTTCATGCTTCACCTTGCCTAGATCTTCTTTTAGGACTCTTATCTGCTCATCTCTCTTGTACAACTCATCCTTCATTTTTCCTAGATTTTCTTCTAATGTGAGATGTGTGTGATCAAATTTCTTTTTACCCGTTCCTAATTTTAATTTTAAATTTTTAGATCTAAGTTCTAAGACAGTGGTGTCAAGTTCAAGAACCTGGTTCTTCAACTCAGTATTTTTACTATCACTATCACTTTCACTAACCTTGAGTTCCAGATTTTTTCACTTTGCTTTTAGGATCACACATTCCCTAGACAGTTGTTCCTTCTCATTGTTTATGACCTCAGACTCATCAATGAAGTCTAGCAGTAATTCAGATAGCTTTTCTTTAGACAAAAGTTTAATCTTGTCTTTGAGATGAATCACACTTACCTCTTGTTCATCGTCTGATTCTCCAATGGCCATAAGTGCTTGTTCATCTCCAGCTTCATCTTCTGAATCCTTATCTGAGCTTTCTCCCCAAGCAACAACCATAGCCTTTGTTGTTCCTTTGTTCTTCTTGGGTTGAACCTGTTCCTTCTTCCTGTTTCTTCGTTCAGCCCTTTCTTTCTTCCATTCAATTTTCCACTGAGGGCAATTCTTGATCATGTGGTCAGTCTTACCACATTTGTAGCAGCCCTCGTTGGTCTGTTTTTCAGGAGCTCTTGGTTTGTTGAAGGTTGCACCTCTTGAAGAACCCTTTCCTCTCATTAGGTACTTCTTGAAATTCCTTGTGATCATTGCCATTTCATCATCCTCTAAGTCTGCACCTTCAGCTATTCTGAGAGCCAGGCTTCTTTCCTTCTTGGGTGCATCCATCTTCATGGTTTGCCTTCTCAGTTCATA